ATGGTATGTTATAGTTCCAGAATACCATAGTCCTGCCTTCCGTTCATTTCCTAGTCCTATTATATTAAACTCTGGTCTTTCTAATCTACTCCCTTCCCTTTCTCTACCAGAAACAATTAGTAGCAAGATTAACAGATGCCAGGGAAAGGGTAGTGACATGGGTAGTAACTATTAACACTGTCAACGGAGTTCTTAAAGTGCAGGATTTAAAGTGCAGGAGTTCTTAAAGTGCAGATAAATAATTGAATCAGCATACACGATGGTATCAGTAATTAAAGTGCAATAGCTTGATCAGTTGGCTCTAAAGTGCTCAATTAAAGTGTGTCATGGAGGACTAACTTCAATGCTAGATGGTTTAGTCGATTAACGTGCTGCAGCTCAGTAAGGCTAATATATCACTGAGATAGTGAGTTAAAGTGCTGATAAAGTAAGTGCTAGAGTCACACAAATTATTTGTCCACTATGCTTTCCAACGGTACAACAATTAGTTCTTAAACTCTCCGTTCAGTCAGCATAATGGTCAGCACAATCAAGGATAGTAGTCAGCAAAGTCAAAAATGAACAGCACAGTCGAAAGAGGTCAACACAGATGAAGATGGTCAGCACAGTCAAAAAGGATAGTCCACACAATTAAAGGAGGTCAACACAGACGATGGTCAACACAATCTATCCAAAACTGGAAAACACGAGATGCCAAAAGATGGTAATAATCAGGCCCAAAAGATGGTTCAACACAATCTTCCGGAGTTGATGGTTACCAACGAGATGATGGAGTCTCGTACGATGGCGGCAAATTAAACCCAGGAGGGCGAGGGAAGCTGGAGCGCTGGACGCTGGCACACCGAAGGTCGGCTCGATGGAAGAGCTCGGCTGATCGCTAGGCCGGAGGGCGGCAACCGCTGGACTGGGGCTGGGACGCCAGGGGGACAGCGGAAGACAGCAGGAGGCAAGCGCGCACTGGGCAGCGCGATGGAAGGCTCCACGATGGAAGGCTCCGTTGAAAGCTAAGCCAGATGGTAACAGCGGACCGCTGGGCCCAGTAGCCGCTGGGCTGGGGCTGGAGCTGGAGCTGGAGTGCAGGGAGGGCACTTGTGTCTGGAGGCACTGAAGATCATAGGGCACTAGAGCGCTGAAGTAGCAGGTTTCTAATCACTTGGAGCGACGCTCACGACGTTCGTGGCGGCTTCGGCCCCAGCAATAGGCCCCAAACTCGCTCCCCACACTCCACAGAGAGGGAGAAACTCACTCCCCACACTCCACAGCGGGGAGAACGAGGCCCGATGGCAAGGGCAGCAAGGCTCAGACGGCCAGGGCCCGGCTCAAGCGATCCCCGCGATGCAGCGATTCACCTGGAATAGGCCCCCCAGTAAAGGCCCAGCCGTTCGCGGCACTCGCGGCGGCAGCCTCGACGCCGACTGCTGCGAAAGGCTCCAACTCACTCCTCTCCAGCACTCCGCAAGGAAACAGGACGGCAGCCGGCGGCAGCGGCGGCCCGCCTCTTCTCGGCCTTCTGGCTGCCTGGCTGCCTCTCCTTCCAGCCACCTCCTCTACGCGGAGGCTAGATCTGGCAGCAATGGCAAGACGCCAAGATGGCGACCGCAGCAGCCGCAGCGCGCTCCACAGCGTCCCTGCAGCAGCAGCCTGGGCGGCAGCGCGGCAGGAGGGCCCCCCCAGCGGAAACTAAAACCCCCGGATTGGGGACCAGGCGGTTCGGCGAGCCAGCCGGACGGCCAGCCAGGCCCAGGTAGGTAGGTTCCTTGAGGAGGTAGCCGCGTTGTAATGGCGGCGGCGTTCCCTCGCCTACCTCCGCCTTCCTGGCTCTCTCTCCCTGGCTCCCTCGCTCTCTCCAGCTCTCTCTCAGGTCCAGCAAGGCCGCAATGGGTGCCGACCTCACACCCCCTTATTTGGTGGTCGCGGGGGGAGTATATCTAAGTGTATATCTCTTCCCCTTTTCTCTGCCATCCAGATGTTTCAGATGCCACAGCCAGATTTTCAAAGAAAAGCATTGGCAGGCTCTGGCGAGCTCAGTTTTTGTAACAATGGAAAAAAAAATAGCATGCAGCGCTTCAATACCATCTAGATATAGTGACAGCTATTAATGTGGATTGATGTTGGGAAACCTTTAGAGAAGTTGTTAAAGGTGTCAAAATATATTTGTGTTTAGGGTCCAGCACCATGAGTAGTTCCTATAATGTGAAGTAACATCTAGAACAAAGAAGGCTGTGAAGAAGGATCTACCAGACAAAGTCATTTCAGCCTGGCTAACTCCAAGGAAACCAGCACTTGCTTGTTTTATTTGATGACATTGCTCTACTCAGAGTTGATCCATCCTTGATCTCAAGCTCAGGGCAAGACAGGGGATAGGTGGCAGAATTGAGTAATAAGGGATGTGTTGGCACTGTGTTATCCTCCTTAGACAGTAGAAGTTAGACCACTGCTGGTAGAAATTGAAACTAATCCTTTGACCTTGCTGAAGTTCCCAGTCTATCAGAGTGGAGTAAGGTCACACTTCCAGCAACATCAGGGAGAGTGCTGACCATTGGAATGGAGGAGAAAAACAGTCCTATGGCTATATAGAGGAAGGTGAAGGTCATTGAGTCCTCCAGTTCATTTGTTGCCTTGGCTGTAAGCAATTGAAAAAATCAGACTCTTGAGGCTATTGTGTAATAATTTTGTTTTATTCTGGATCTAAATGGGATACAGAATGATGAATAGACAGACATTCACAGTATTCAACCACTCCAAAGTTAAACTCATAGGCAGAGGCAGCCACTGCGAGATCTCTATTTATCGTTACCACTTTTTCAAGCAAAGGCAGAAATTAGAGGGGGAAAGAGTGCTATACAAGTAGCTAAGGTAGCTACAGTGAATCTTGTATATGTCTGTTCAGAGGCAAATTCCATTAGGTTTAGTGCTTGCTTCAAAGAAAATGGAGATAGGATTCCAGCCTAAGTGACTTAGATAATACACTAACCTTAAGTGGAGAGATGATCCAAAAATATAAATAAATACATTCTAAATATTTCCACAAGCTATAAGTTCTTTAAAGATGTGATTTAGTTAATTTATGACAAAATAATATTACCACACCTCTTAGGTTGGTTTTGTGATTTTACTTATACAATTTATGGAGTTCAATTTATTGGAATTTGGGAGGTTGACAGTATTGTACAATATCCACCAGTATTTAGTGTAATTGTGCCCCTCTAAAATGGTGGCCATTGTCCTAGTTCCTTACCACCCAAAGACAGCTTCCACTTGCACAACATGACTTCTTCGTAGTCTCTGTGAATCACACAGTTGGGTATTCTGTGTAGGCACAGAGCGCTGTACAAAACCTTCTAGAATTATTAGGTATAACTACAAAGTCTAAATAGCCTCTTTCCCTTGGATTCAGAGCTTTCTGAAGGGTATAAGAATCTGCATCCTGCCGCATCCTCCTGAAATGCAGTTGCACGGAGCTCTCAGGAGAGCTCTGCGCAGCTGCATGTGACTAGGAGGGTCCTCTTAGCAGGAGGTCGTAGTGGGCTGTCACGTCCTGCTGAGAAGAGGGTGTGACACACGGCTGCCTCCAGGAGCTGGGGCCGGAGACTGGTTTGCCCATGCCTCTTTTAGAAGGTTCTGAACAGTGATCTGCGCCTGTGCAGAATACCCAGTTGTGTGAATTCACAAATGACCACTTGAAGAAACAGTTACAAGTAAGCAACTTTTCCTTCCACATCCCTTCCTTGTGCCATGAGCATCCTAATTTTGCTCCACATAGTTATGAATTCATCTATTACAAATAATGACAGCATGTAAAGAGCTTATGGGAGGAATTGAATCACACACTATATTGACAGAAGCCATTTTATCTCAAAGTCTTGTTATTTGGTAAAATAATTTTGTTATTGTTACAAAATTTATTTCATTTAAAGCATTTATCAGACCAAAAAGTCCCCAGGCTGTCTTAAAACTGTTAATTTGATTATTCTATGTCCATGGGCTTGCAATCTAGAATAGCAATAAGAAAAAGAGGATGGCTGTGAGAGGTGGTATTAAGGCCAGGAAATTATGGCCTCAGAGGCCAGAGCAATGGCAGTTTCATAGGGTTTCATCAGCTCCTGGAACAAAAGCATGCTGGTATTCTGTGCCTCGTGACTGCTCTTTATCTTAAGAGGCTAGAGTAATGACATTTTGCATGTATGGAGGGTATATAAAATGGCAAGGAGCCCCCAGTGGCGCAGTGGGTTAAAGCCCTGTGCCGGCAGGACTGAAGACCAACAGGTCGCAGGTTCGAATCCTGGGAGAGGCGGATGAGCTTCCTCTATCAGCTCCAACTCCTCATGCGGGGACATGAGAGAAGCCTCTCACAAGGATGATAAAAACATCAAATCATCCGAGCGTCTCCTGGGCAACGTCCTTGCAGGCGGCCAATTCTCTCACACCAGAAGCGACTTGCAGTTTCTCAAGTCGCTCCTGACACGACTAATAATAATAATATAAAATGGCATCTAATTCTTGCTGCTACATAAGAATTGGGTAGGCAGTGTGTTTGTTCTTAATACCACAGGCAATTTGAGCCCACCAAGTTTCTCTCCTGGAGGAGAGAAACGTATGGGACCACGGCTACTTCTGATTCCAGTAAACCCAGGTTCTTCTACTTTGCGACCTCAAAATATGCAGCTTGGTCAAGGGAAGAAAATGATTTTGCAGCCTATAAGGAATCCTGGAGGCACTAATCTCTACCGACATCCCAACGGCCAGATTATCCAGCTTGTTCCCTTGCATCAGCTTCAAACTACAGGATCCCAGCCCAATTTATCACCTGTAATGTTCCGTAACTCAGGTACATAAATATTTAATTCCACACCTCTCTATCAGTCTTGAGTCTCAGAAGGCATTTTTTGGTCCAAAACCAGATTGAAAGGGGTTCTAAGTAAAGATAAGTAATATTATGTGGTGGAAAAAGTGTGTTCCAAATTATTGTAAAGAAAAGATATGAACAACATATTCAGAGATAGCATAATTCTCATCATTCTATTATAACCTACTTAGGCCCCTTCTGCTTTGCCTATGGTTTCTTTGCCTATTACCTTTGTCTTTAAGGTATTTATATCTATCTATCTAGATAGATAGAAATACCTTAAAGACAAAGGTGTATTTTAATATTTAATATTTTAATATTTTGATAAATGTTTTTTAATGTTTATGTATTGTATGTGAATGTGTGTCCCGGCATTGAATATTTGCCCTGTATATGTGTGACACTTCACTTATTTTCTAGCTTTTGTACAAATTTATTTCAAGAGAGACAAGTGCTATTTTTGAGAAGTGAAAGCAAAATTGTATTTTATATCTACTTCTGTAAGGAGTGTTTCTTTTTATTTACTCTAAAACTTGAGGGTTTTTTTCCTGCTCTGGAATTGATAAGAGTTGGTAAAATATGTATAATATGCAGTTGCTTAATTGAACAAAAATGTGGGATTATGTGCAAGAAATGGTAACAATATTTCACTTCCTTACAGGATCTGTTGTGGGAATCAGGTTGCCCACACCCACTAAGCCACCTGAAACATCTGTGTGTCCATCCCCTTCTGATTCAGTTGTAACTCCAACTACCACAACTGCTCCAGTTTTGTCTGCGATTCCCACTTTTTCTGAACTCAAAACTACAGAGACCACTTCTCTTTTGCCTGGAACCTTAACCAACACACCCACTTCACCATTACCCAGTACAACTTCCACTGAAGATCCTTCATCATGTCTGTCCCCTGCTGTTGTTTCCACACCTCCTACCATTGAAGCTGCTTCACTTTTATCCATGCCCAGTACTTCTGATACATTCTCATTGTCTATATCCTCTCCACCTACAGTTGTTGCTTCTACAGCTGAAGGCCTTTCAGTTGTGTCTTCACCCCCAAGCAGTAGTGCACCTGAACCACCTCCCATTGTATCTACATCTTCTCCAACTGAGGCCCTTTCTGCTCTGTCCAAGCCGCCTACAACTGAGAGCTTTACAGCATTATCTGCATCTAGTACTACTGCTTCTCCTTTAATTCTGCCCACCACTGATGCGCCCACCACTGATGCGCACTCTGTCTTGCCCGAGTCTACCACCACTGAGGGATCTTCAGTTTCACCTGTGTTCCCTACTTCTCAGGACCCATCTACTTTGCCTGAGTCTGCTGCAACTGAGGAAATGGGTGTGCCTCCTGTGGCTGATGTTCCTGTGGTGTTAGCTGTGTCATCTTCTGCCACACCTGTTCTCTGTAACACTGAGGCCCTTTCTAGTTTATCAGCATCTACCAAAAACTGTACATTGAAGGCTACTACTTCTGTACCTGTATGTTCTGTTTCAGCTACCCAAACAGCACCTGCCATTTCATCAGTATTTGTTCCTGGAACTCTGACTTTGAGAATTTCTCCTTCGGGAATAAAAAGTATTCCTATTCAGATGAGTCCAGATTCTAAAATAAAATGTAGCTGTAGTGGGCAACCAAGCACTGCAGATAATCTGTCTCTTCAATCTGACAGTTTTGCCTTACTTCAGTTTCCAGGGAAGAAACAAGTTGTCCACACTGAGATTAAGAATGATACATTCAGTACTGTTAAACTAGATGAAAATGTAACATGTTCACAAGTTAAAGGAACTGTGGAGTCAAAAGAAAATAAGCGGGTAGCCAGTCAACCAGAGTCTTGTTCTAAATATGTTAAATGTGACCAGAATGGTGCTATCGTACAAAGAGCCAACACATATGCAGAAATCAATCTACAGTTATCAAAGGATGCTGCTGTATCATCAGATCCTACCTATGTGTGTGAGAACAAAATGTATGAGGAAAAAGAAGTGACCATTAAAAGCAAGCATGTTAAATATCCCGAAGATACTGAAGACAAAGTTTCACATAGTTTTGAGACTGGGCCCGAGTGTGGCAGTCAGACTGCCATGAATTCTACAAAGAAGATTAAAACTTTTATGTGTGGAACTCAAGGTCTGGTACAACTACAGAGAAACATGAAGGAAAAGGATAATTATGTAATAGTGGAGAAGAAAAGAGAAGAACAGAGAGAGAGGCCTAGCGTCAATATTGTTAAAGGTCATGATAATACATCAGCAAACAAAAACTTGGATAACCATCAGAAATTTTTATCTAAAAGAAATACTGGTTCTCAAGAGAGTGATAACACTACTGGGCATAATCAAGAAGAAAGCCAAACAACTAAACTTATTCAAATAAGCAACATATCTAGGCAGTTGGTTGCTTTGGAAAACAAAACTAATATGGATGCCAATAAGAATGCTAAATACCTTCGACAGAATACTCTAGAAACCAGCTACCACCGAAAGGTTTCTTCACCCATTATTGATATTACCACGGATGATTCAGAAAAAGATGAAAAAACAGATGATTCAGCAGATGAGATGGCTGATGAAGTATCTGGTTATCAGAGTGAAGATGTGAATGTTGAAACAATGGTAACTACCTAGATTATTAAATTAAGAAACTATCCATAGCATAAAATGGTTTGATTAAAATGGCATGAAATTACTCAGGGTTTTTTTAAAAAGCAAGAGTGCATTATATTATCGTAAATTATAGTGTCAAGAAAGTTGTACTCCCTTTCTCAGTTGCTAGTCATCATAGATTTTAGAATGTGATGTTAAGTGTTTGAAAATGTTACATAGTATAATTATGGTCCGTAGAAAATGCAACGGCTCCCAAAAATAGGACTGGGCTTGTAGTATTGTAGTAATTTTTCAACAGCATATCCACTGCCAAAGTTTGGAATATTTCTCCTTCTGAGATTCATAGGAGATGCCCTTCTCTCAGCCATGCCAACTTCACAGGTATGGCTGATTGGAGCATGAGGAGAGGGCCTTTTCAGTGGTTTCCCCTACACTTTGAACCACCCTCCCTAGGGATCCCTCCTTGCTGTCCTTCTATCAGCATACTAGAATTGAAGGCCGTATTGCAGTGTTTCTCAACCTGGGGGTCGGGACCCCTGGAGGGGTCGCCAGGAGGTGCCAGAGGGGTCACCAAAGACTATCAGAAAACACAGCATTTTCTGTTGTTCATGGAGGTTCTGTATGGGAGGTTTGGCCCAATTCTATCATTGGTGGGGTTCAAAATGCTTTTTGATTGTAGGTGAACTATTAATCCAACTACAAGCAACTACAACTCCCAAATGTCAAGGCCTATTTTCCCCACACTCCACCAGTGTTCACATTTAGCATGCTGAGTATTCGTGCCAAGTTTGGTCTAGTTCCATCATTGTTTGAGTCCATAGTGCTCTCTGTAGGTGAACTACAACTCCCAAACTCAAGGTCAATGCCCACCAAACCCTTCCAGTGTTTTCTGTTGGTYRTGAGGCATTCYKTGTGCCAAGTTTGGTTCAATTCCATYRTTGKTGGAGTTCAGAATACTCTTTGATTGTAGGTGAACCATAAATCCCAACAACTACAACTCCCAAATTATGTTTCATAACAGGAGCAAAATTACAGTTATGATGTAGCAAAATAATGTTATGGTTGGGGGTCACCACAACATGAGGAACTGTATTAAGGGGTCGCGGCATTAGGAAGGTTGAGAAACACTGCCGTATTGTTTTATGTGTTCTTGAAGGCTTTCATGGCCAGATTCACTGGGTTGTTGTGAGTTTTTCAGGCTGCATGGCCATGTTCTGTAGCATTTTCTCCTGTCATGTCACCTGGATCTGTGACTGGCAACGTCTTCAGAAAAAGATGCCACCCACAGGTGCAGGCAAAATGTCAGGAGAGAATTCTACTGAAACATGATCGTACAGCCTGAAAAACTCACAGCAATACATATTGTTTTAAATTACATGGCTTATTATTTTTTTAAAGATATATTCAAAATGTTGTAATATAGCTAATACTTTAATACAGTTTAAATGTTTTTCATTGATGTTTTTCATTGAAATCTTTTAAATGTGTAGGTTAGATTGAGCCCCTGTATTGGGAAAAATGTGGGATATCAATAAAGTGTGGTGGAGGCTCCTTCTTTGGAGTCTTTTAAGCAGAGGCTGGATGGCCATCTGTCAGGAGTGCTTTGAATGCGATGTTCCTGCTTCTTGGCAGGAGGTTGGACTGGATGACCCGCAATGTCTCTTCCAACTCTATGATTCCATTATTCTGAGTTAATAATTAGTTCATTACCATCAATAGTACCTGAAATTGAACAATTCACTTGGGGAAACAGTTGCATTTACAGACAATGACCCATTCATTTTGTGATAACTCTTTCGTTTGTCTTTTCATTCTCACCAATATGTTGATTCACACCATTTGTTGGCCTGTGGTCACTGAAGTATTCTGTGGCAGATTTGCAGTAATTCTAAATTAATTTTGATCAGAATTTTCTCTTTATGAATATATCGGCATGATCCTAATAATTACTACAGTTTGAGTATCTCTTGCCTGAAATAGTTGGGACCAAAAGTTTTCCTTGTTTCAGAGTTTTTCAGATTTTGAAATATTTGCATGCACATAATGAGATGTCTTGCAGATAGAATCTAGATCTAAACATGAAAGTCATTTATGTTACATATATAACATACATGCATAGCCTGAAGGCAAATTTATACACAATCTTTTCAATAATTTTGTGCATGAAACAAAATACTTGAATAATTATCAGAAAGCAAAGATGTTCCTATCTGGGGCAGTCTTGGAACCCTATACATACGTTAGGGAGAATTTTCAGTTGTTGTTTCTGGGGAGGGATTTACTTTTGATTTGATTTTTTAAAATTAGCATTTTAAATTAATATGACCTGTACAGGAGTGTCAATACTTTATTGCTCTGTTACAGGATGAAAGTGAATCCAGTGGAGTTGAGGAGAATGTGGACATTGAGACTGTAGAAGAACTTAAAGAGAAATTTAATATAGCTCGCCTGAAATCTATAGCTGCGCATGTTGCACAGTCCAAGCAATTGTAAGCTTATGTTGTTGTGGTGGTGATGTTGTGGTGACAAAATGGAGGGATGGGGGCATTTTTCGCATCCCCAGAACTAGAAGGGCTGGAAAATCTCCAAAGCTAGTTTTAAATGGTCTGAAATCAAAATGGGAGGAAAGTTCTACGGAAACTGTTAACACTGGATTTAGTCCATCATCTTTTTTTCTGGAATCATTCAAAGCAATCAATAGACTCCAGGTTTGGCCTAATGTATACTTAATAATCTTGGTCTAGTTCCTATTATATCAGTCAGAAAGGAGTATATCTTCTACACCATTCCCTTTCCATGTGTACCTCATGTAAAAACTTTCTAGTTTGTTTGTTTTTTTAAAATTACACTTTCTCCTTTTCACATCTCCACTTGGAGGTGTCTTTCTGCAGGCAGATTGCCCATGTTGTTTTGGACTTGATATTTAAGCGTGTTGGCTCAGTAATTTATCTATAACAAATTTGGGTTATTAGGTTAAATTGCTTTTAGCTTGGTTAAAAATCAGATGAATTTTCTTTTTAGCATAATCACTTTTTAAATATAAATTGTTCTAAAATTAAATTAAATTAAAAGAAATGATGGGAAATATTACTCACTTTGAAAAGAAAACACAAGATTTACAATAGAAATCAGAGTTTGTGGAAGTGGTTTAGTGTTTACTTCATGATTGTCATCTTTGGGATGAATTCTACTGTATTTTACTGATTTATTTCCCAAAAATCTACATTTTTAGAAATGTCACAAAGTCTGTTTTGTATATTTAATACTCTCTGAGTCCTTAAATAAGCCTGACTAGAAATCCTCATACCAATATAAGTTCATTTTTATTCTCTAGGCACCTTGTTCGTGACTCTTCTGCTCAAACGACTGCCTCAGCTGCTAAGGTAATACGTTGTTACTCATAAGTTATCTTCACAATGTATATTATCAATTCAGAGTTGTATTATTTATACTTATATTCTCAATAATGGCTGAACAAAACATGATGACTGCTGTTACTAAATATAAATCTTGTTCTGTGTTTTTGCTCTCTCTTCCGCATGTTTGTTTCTTAATGAGTGATAAGCAGTACTGTGGACCATGAATGGTGAAAGTAAGAAAACAAAATGAGTTCTTTGGCATCTATATTACTAACAGTCAGTTTGCAATATGTGCTACAAGTAACACAGGCAGCAGGAGGTAGTGAAATATTAGGATAGAAACATAAGAGGAAGAGCCATAAGACTAGATGACTTTGTTCAGGGCATTGCTCATATGTGATGTTTAGATTCTTATCCTTTCTATGAAATGTAAGCTGTTCCCCTAGTTCCTGCAGGGTGTCATCATTTTACATGTACCATTTCCAATATCAGATAGCTCTTCAACCATTATTGCTTCATAGGCCTGTCCAGTTGGAAAACAGAGCTATGTCTAGATACATAGTTAATAATAATACAGATTATTATTTTGGATGCGTAATTCATTTTTAAGTGTTCACAGTTACTTTCTCTTTATTTGCAGCTGTCTGAGTCCTCAAACAAAAAGCCAAAGAATACAGAAAAGGTCTTTTCTTCCTACCGCCAAACACACACAGCAAATGAACGACGCCGTCGGAAGGAAATGAGGGGGCTCTTTGAAAATTTGAAGGAAACTTTGGGATTACAGTCTTTCCCCAAAGTGTCCAAATGCTTCCTCCTCAAACAAGTCAGTATTTCAGAGTTTATTTATGTTTGAAAGATTGTTGTTGGACAGAGTTATGTATAGAGTAGTGAATTACAAATTTTAAATGCTTATAAATAATATGTTAAGGAAAGCAGTCACCTGGTTAAAGAAATTAAGTTCAGTTGTATTAGTTTTAGTCCATCAGTTGAGCTATTTGTATTTTAAACCTACAGAGGTTGTATTTTTAAATAAAAAATGGTCACTCTGAAGAAAACACTTTTCTTCATTTTATTTCATGCATATTCATGTCACAGCAAAAAACAAAAATCTAGGGAAAGGGTGGGAATGCCTTTTTAAGATGACCGCTAGCAATAAATATGTGTTATAATTATTTGTGAACAAAAAGGACAAAGACAATATTGGAGAAGAAATAAACACACAGAAGGCCTGTGTTTTTCTTTCAAGAGAGAGAAAGCAAAAAATAATTTTAAAAAGAAGTAGGAAAAATTGAGGGAAGAGATGGTAGTAGATTTAAGGCATCTGTCCAGAGTACTAGGAAATTTACTTTCAATAATTCAGTGAAGTCCCATAAGTGAGAGTTCACATGAGGTCATTACATATTTTCATGAGACCAATTTTTATTTATCGTGTCATCCGCAACCAGAACATTGTGTTACATTTCTAACAGAAGAACATAAACAAACAGATAAAAAAAACAAAACACAAATTTTGCAAACTTGGTAGCTGATTAAATGTCCTTTGACCAGTATCTGGCCTCTTGGAGTGCCTCTGGTGTTGCCGCAAGAAGGTCCTACATCGTGCATGTGGCAGGGCTCAGGGTGCATTGCAGCAGGTGGTCAGTGGTTTGCTCTTCTCCACACTCGCATGCCGTGGATTCCACCCTGTAGTCCCATTTCTTAAGATTGGCTCTGCATCTCGTGGTGCCAGAGCGCAGTCTGTTCAGCGCCTTCCAAGTCGCCCAGTCTTCTGTGTGCCCAGGGGGGAGTCTCTCATCTGGTATCACCCACGGATTGAGGTGCTGGGTTTGAGCCTGCCACTTTTGAACCTTCGCTTGCTGAGGTGTTCCAGTGAGTGTCTCTGTAGATCTAAGAAAACTATTTCTTGATTTGAGTCGTTGACGTGCTGTGATACCCAAACAAGGGATGAGCTGGAGATGTCTCTGCCTTGGTCCTTTCACTATTGGCTGCTACTTCCCGGCAGATGTCAGGTGGTGCAATACCGGCTAGGCAGTGTAATTTCTCCAGTGGTGTAGGGCGCAGACACCCTGTGATAATGCGGCATGTCTCATTAAGAGCCACATCCACTGTTTTAGTGTGGTGAGATGTGTTCCACACTGGGCATGCGTACTCAACAGCAGAGTAGCATAGCGCAAGGGCAGATGTCTTCACTGTGTCTGGTTGTGATCCCCAGGTTGTGCCAGTCAGCTTTCGTATGATATTGTTTCTAGCACCCACTTTTTGCTTGATGTTCAGGCAGTGCTTCTTGTAGGTCAGAGCACTGTCCAGAGTGACTCCCAGGTATTTGGGTGCGCTGCAATGCTCCAGTGGGATTCCTTCCCAGGTCATCCTCAGAGCTCGGGATGCTTGTCTGTTCTTAAGGTGAAAGGCACATGTCTGTGTTTTCGATGGATTAGGGATCAGTTGGTTTTCCCTGTAGTAGGCAGTTAGAGCACCTAGAGCTTCGGAGTGCTTCTGTTCAACCATCTCAAAGCTCCCTGCTTGAGCGGTAATGGCACGATCATCAGCATAGATGAAACTCTCTGTCCCTTCTGGCAGTGGCTGGTCATTTGTGTAGATGTTGAACATGGATGGAGCAAGCACGCTCCCCTGAGGCAGGCCGTTCTTCTGTTTCCGCCATGAGACCAATGAAAAGGCATGACTCTAATGTTACCAAATAAATAAAAATAGCTTTTGCAAGTAGATGGAAGCACGACTGCAGAGGGCCATGTTGCATTAGTCTTTGATTGGCTGAAGGGTCTACTACATGTCTTTTCTTCACAAAGCATTCTAATGAAAATCAGAAGGCAGAATACTATTAATTGCCTTGCATAGATAGGCACCACAGGTCATGGTATCTGTTTCTGTTGACTATATCAGTGAGATCTGTTAACTCACCATCCAATAAAATATCGAAACCTGTAGTTAATATTAACTGCATGAAGGTTGAGCGTCAGTGAGTAAAGAATACACAGAACTGATTATTAATACAGTTTTGGCTTCTAGGTACCAGTTGACACAATGTATATATGAAACCACTTGGAGAGTCTTCCAAAAGTGGTGTGAATCAAATCCAGTGTTACTGTATAAATGCAGATAAGTAGTATCTTATCCTTTTTACAGAGTGGATAAATGGTTACAATTTAACACACTGAGTAGAAACCGTAGCAACATTGTCTTCTGTATTGTCAATAAGCGAGGCCTGTCACAGCAAATCCTCCTGTTAAACATTTTTGAAGAGAAGCAACTTTACTACCAACAATCCACAACTTACCTTAATGGGATTTGATTTTAGTACTGAACTCTTTTACAAGGTCTGTTGCCACAGGACACCTCACTAAGATTATTTACTTTTAAAGTGTCATCTAGTGGTCTTTTCTTAGCAAGGTGAGAATCAAAAATGTCATTGTTGTCAGTGAATCTGAACCTGTGCAATTTTCATGAAGATACCTTGTTCTTGACTATTGATCTATCATTTATTTCACAATCTGTATTAGGTGTCAAGATTAAGTTTAACATTGGAACAACTAACATTTTGTCCAAAACTTATTCAATCATTTGAAAAAGATGTCATTCATTGGATGTCAGAAGATCTGTGAAAATCTGTATTGACAGAATAAGAAAGACCATTTAGGCACACAGAGACATTGTTTATTTGCTGTCATCTAAAGATATTTGGACACATTCAACTAGATCAATGGAATATAATAACAGGTCTTGATTTTTTCAGGCCTTTGATGAAATCCAGGGACTAACAGATCAGGCAGATAAACTAAAAGGTCAGAAAAACCTATTGATGCGCAAGCAAGAGACCTTGATTCGTAAAGTTTCTACACTTTCAGGTGAGATGACATCTAAAAGAAAGGATGGCTAAAACCTAAATGCTAAGGGTTGAATACAGATAGTTTCAAGTGGTCAACAATATGGGAGCTCTGATCTAAGTACAAGGGTTAGATTTCAAATATATGAAATGTTATTAGATGTGAAATTAGACCACAAAAATATAATGAACATTTGTATATAGTAAGTGCTGCCATTTTTGTAATATACAATATTGTATTTTCTGGATTAGAAGGGATATCTGTACAATTTTGGCCTATCTGAGAGCTTTTATCATTCATGTTTTTGAGTACTATATAAAGGGAAACATTCCTATTTTTCCTCACTAGGCAAGACCCAGGAAGTAGTCTTGAAGAAGCTAGAATACATTTATGCCAAACAGAAAGCGGTAGAACAAAAAACGAAGCAAAATAAGCAAGAAAAGCCTACAGCAACTTGCGAAACTACTGAAACTGCTAAACCTTCTGTGGAAGACAGTTCTTCTTCTCCAGATAAAGACATGAAACCGGTGATTGTTTCAACCAGGCGTACAAAACCACTGATTCTTTCCAGGAAAGGAAGTTATGTCACAGGTGGGCTAAAGTAAAAAGGGGTGTTAAAAACATTGTATTTCCATGGTTTTTTTTTTGTTTTGTTACAGAAGATACAATTAAAGATGTAAAGCAATTTATTAATCAGAAAGGCAATACCATTGGAGAATATTATCATCATTTAGCCTGTGATAATCTGTATAATAATATTTGTGATCCCTTAATCTTCTTTGGATTTTATTTAATATTGCCACTTAATTTTTTTATTGTGTTCAGAATAATTTCAATAATTAGCTATTATTGAAAAATATGAGGAGTTACTTCCTTGCATTCCAGGAGTCTGGTTAGTGAAGTAAATACTGATTGAGTTATATCTGTGCACGCGCGTGGCTTTTTCCTGTAGATAAATATCTCTGTACTCCTTTGTTTTGGCTTCTTTGCAGGAGATGCATCTTCTCATGTGACTTTAACAAATGCAAGTCTAGTAATGACTGCAACTGGCCAGGTTCTTGCCTTAAAGAGTCCCTTAGTGTCCGGACAGTTTGCTTCCTTCCCCCTGCAAACTGAACTCAAGTCGGAAATTGATAGCGCTAATGGGACAACACAGCCAGGTAAATTCAATTTTTTTAATTAAGTAGTCAAATAATCCCACTTAGTGCCATAAGTTTTCTTGCAATGCTGTTTTTTAATCATTGCATTTAAAGTATATCTAAAATAGCAAAAATGTAACTCTGTCTGTAAAAGAGTAGACAGTTGGTTTTAAAATGGGAAAAAAAACTGTATAAGCATATTGAAGCCAAAATGTATGATGTTATGTCACTGGACTCAACAGTTGTATTCGTTTCATTATATATTAAAGCTTACCATAGAACTGCCCTAAATAATTTTAGATTCCTTCACCGTGTATTTAAACATTCATCAGTTATTCCCCCTTCTTTAAGGTGTTGCTTCTGTGATGATTCAGTTGCCAAGCTCAGCAGTACCAGTGCAAGTGAAAGGCATCTTCCCTGCTGCTACACTTCCTATTGCACTGTCTTCTGTGGCTGGTAACAATGCCACTGCAGTTGCCCAGAAAACTCCAGAGCTTACATCAGGTACATTTTACATTTATGCAGGATTTTTTAAAGATTGGGTTGGATTTGATTTGACTAATGCTTTATGTGGGAGGAAAATAGCACAGTTCACTCTGCATGTTTTGTTTTGTTTTGTTTTGTTTTCTTTGCTATGAGATGAGGTGGTTTATAACTTTTGCATCTGTCAAGGTTTCGCTAAACCACATCTCTGTGATATCGCCCCAAAGCTTTGGATTCACTTTTGGGAAGTGGCTTGCCTGAATACATTGGGATCATTCCTTCATAGTACTTCCATATTAATTTGAGGAAGCCTTCATTTTTTATTCTTTACCAGTGTCAATGGCACTGAAGGTATCAGCTTGGCAACAGTTAAAATAATGCCTTAAGGATTGCTTGTTTTCTTTGCTAAGTTTCACTGTGAAATGGTGGTCTTTAAGGTATAGTATGTAGCTTTCAAGGGGCTGAGAAGTAGAGTACTCACATTACTATTTCTAATTACTGTATTTTCCGGCATACTGGAGAACTTTTTAAGCCTGGAAAATCTTATGAAAAGTCGGGGGTCGTCTAGTACGCCGGGTATAAATTAAAATAATAATAATAAAAGAAAAAATCTCCCTTAATGGTGCAGAGGGAGGGAGGGCATGGGGGGGGAGGAGTGGCAGGCCACATTGCCATGGAGACCAGCTGGGGGTGATGGCCCGCTGGGTTTTCCCTGCGGCTCCCGCAGCTCTCCCCACTCTCATTTCATCCGGAGGTGCTTCCTTGCACCTCTGGATGACGACTCCCAGCAACCCTGTATGGCAGCATGCCGTGGATATGCTCGCTGAGGCATTCGGGGAGCAGTAGGAATCAGGGAACTATGGCTCCAAGAATTCCTCAGCGAACATATCTAAGGCACGCCACCACCCAGGGCTGCTGGAAGTCGTCATCCGGAGGCACTTCCTTGGGCCTAGGCAAGCCCAGTGACCTTCGGAGGAGGTGAGTGGCAAGGGCGGAGGGGGTCCTTGAAAGGAGAGCGGCATGTGCTGTGGTGGCATAGTGTTGGGTAGTCTTAAACGGCAAATATATCCCTAACTCTGTATTTTATCTTTAAAAGTTGTGGGTTGTCTTATACCCCCAATCGCCTTGTATGCCGGAAAAGACAGTAATATTAGTAACGGCTAATTATCTTCTGTTATCTCTTGCTATAAATCTGCGTCAGTGATAATAATTGGAAAAAGCAGACTCTTGTCACCATTAATCTAATAGGTCTTATTTTTTCGGGTTTCCAGAAAATGAAGATTCTTTCATGATGCCCCGGATAGTAAATGTGACATCCCTTGCTACCAAAGAAGATGCAAGTTTAAACCCGGATATAAAGAAGAATTCCCGTGTTACACTGCAGGCTGATTCTCGGGAATCAGAACCTTCCTTTCAAGTAGTATCACAGGTAACAACCAAATTTCTCTCTGAAGAAAAACGCCAAGCTTCTTCTGGAAAAGGGCAAAATGCCACTCGAACAGCACAAGATTTTCTTGGGAGAAAAGGTAGTTTTCCTCAAATAGTCAGTGTGTCTAGTTTAAAGGGATCCTCGGCATCTTATACAACAGAAGTCAACGTTGAAGAGTTTTCTGGCATTAAGAAAAGAGTAAAACTGACAGGGAAGGGAAATGATTGTCAGATGTCAAATAATTCCACATTCCAAAAACTTCCGGTACCCAGGAATTCTGGATTAGAAACAGAACTGCAGAAAGTAGCTTCTGCAATACATGAATCAGCCCTGGATGCAAATGACTTGATAGATGTAGAGAGTGACGATACAGATGAAACTCTCACTTCGCTTCTCAATGAAATTGCATTTCTCAATCAGCAGTTGAATGACGATGTCTCTGACATGGCTGACCTTCCAAATTCCTTAAGTTCTGGCTTTTCTCTAAAAGATATGGAAAGTCGTCAGGAATTAGCAACTGGAGGTGCTTCTTCTTTTCAATTTGGTGCAGTGGATAGGAGCTTTAAAGACCCTTCTGGCGTCCGAGAGAGTTCTGGTTCCATAACTCCTCTCTTGCTTCACTTGAGTGATGATGATCTACCTGAAGGTAACAGGAACTCAGGAGGGGCTTCAGTTCAGTCTGACACTTTGATCATGTTAGGATCTGAAGTAAAGAACTCACATCCTGACCTAAGAACAGAAAATAGAGATGGAAGTAGGAAAAATGTGGGATCCCTGACAAGGACGAGAAGTGTGTCACCTCCCATTCTGCAGATGAAAACTAACCTAGATGCGTCCACCTCAGACATGGCATGGAGACCCATGCCCAAATTGGCACCACTTGGCTTAAAAACTGTTACCTTTTCATTAGATTCTGAAGGACACAACACCAAGACGATGCCTTTGTTGGCACCTGTTTCTGCGAAAGAGATGAAAACCACAGAACCAATGAGTGGTCCAAATCTGGATCCTAAAGCAGTGCTCATGTTAACCTCTGCAGCTAAAAAATCAAAATAGTATTGTGGCATACCTTTCCATGCTTTTGTTAATTTGTTTTGTATTTATTAGGACCTTTCGCAATTAGTCTAGATTATTGAGCATGTGGTGTACTCCAGCATCCATCTTTACATGTGCATATATTATAACGTGTCCATGTGATTTAGAAGGCTGGGTGAATATTTGACTTCGACCTAGAATATCAAAAGAAATGAGGAAGACACTAGCCAGAAAATTACAAGGATGCCCACTTTGGCTGTAAATTCGTAGCACTCTTACAAAAAATATTTTAACATGGTTTAGAAGAGCGAATTGCCTTTTAGCATGCCAGAGACAATTCTAGTGATAAAACAATTGCTTAGCTCATATCCAAGAGAGATTTTTGAAAGATAGGAAAGTTGTCTTCGCTCTCCTTCTTTTTGTCTGACACAGTCACATGAAGTATGTTATAAAATTAATTTTAAACATGTTTTTAGCATTTCAGAAAATATTCAGGAATGTAAATTATTTGTATGCATAATTCTTTCCATATTATGAATTCAGAAGCTCAAAATAAGGCAGTTGATGAGATATATTTTGCTCTTGTATAATGTGCGTTAATTAAATAGTTTGAAGGTAATCTTTTCACTTTTGAGCTGATAAATGTGAAGGGAATTTCAAACTATAAAACACTTTATATTTTTGTACAGAATTTTCTTGTAAATATGTAAAGTAATGAAACTTTCCATCAATGGAAAAAGGTGTGTGTGTGTGTGTGTGTGTGTGTGTGTGTGTGTGAATGATGTTACAAAAAAGAATGCTTGTGAAACATCCTAGTGATCTGGTCAATCACTGTTACATGATGTCTGAAAATTGCTGCACTTCATTTCATTATAGTAAGATTTTTTCTAGGTTGTATGAAGAATGTAGACCTCCATTCTTGTTTAGCAGAAAATATTAAGCTTCTCACCCCTTGTTCTGACTCAGTCATATTAGAAATGCCTATTTCCTGTGCCTAGGACTGAGAGAGGTACTGAACTTTTAAATACGGAAACAGCCCTTCAGTTCCATAGTGTTCATGAAAGCCCCACTCATTCCAACTGTGTGTAAGGGCCTTTCCACACAGCCCTATATCCCAGAATATCAAGGCAGAAAATCCCACAACATCTGCTTTGAACTGGGTTATCCGAGTCCACACTCAGATAATGTGGGATTTGCTGCCTTGATATTCTGGGATATAGGGCTTTGTGGAAGGGCCCTAAGTTGTCTATATTTAAATGAAATTACATGTGATAAGTACAGAGATTATACAGTGTATTGCATTAATTCAAAGTATATATGGCACTAACAGGATTTTTAGCCCATGCAGTTTTTACATAAAGTTACAAGAAGTATTTGGAGTCCCTCTGGTAGCATTATATTCGTCTCCCCAAAATCACTGTGTTTGTAGTTCTGCCCTCCACCTTTAAAATCTTTGACTTCATAATTCTATAAAGTACTGAAAAGAATGTACAACAAAATACAAAATCCACAAAGCAGTCATACCTATTTTGGGCCAACTTCAAGGCATAAAATAAATTATGCAAACTTATTGGCTTCATCATAATAAAAATCATACAGGGGAAAAAAGTTGATAGTGTTAAGAGCTGCAGTGATTAAAAAAAACAAACATGTTTTACTCTGCCACTAGAGACATTTTCTTGTGCATTTAAATTTCATGTATTGAGTTTCCACTGCTTCACAATATCTATTCAGTGCCTTAGGATTTGGAAAGGAAACTATTTTTAAAAAATCAAAACTAAATTCTGGTACAAGTGTCACATTGAATTGCTTTAGTATATTAAAAATGATGCTGTGTATTTCTCTACAAGATAATTTAGGCAGCTAATTCCCCTTCTTTATTACAGTTAAACTGTCAGTACGCTACAAGCTTTAAAAAAAAGTTTCTGTATATTGTTTCTTCACTGCCTTGTGGTTATAATTTGCTTCAACTCATCTGCAAAATTGAAAATAATTACCAGGAGTCTAGCAAAGAGATTCACTATTAAAGACAACTTTTAACAAGTCATTATGTGTTCTGAAAGGTTGTGTGCTTTGTAACATAACAATGCACAGTGAATAATTGGGAGGAAATGTTCTTTATAATTTTGTTTATAATGCTTTTCATCTTACTGAATCCTTTTCTTCTTACTACCTTTTCCCATATAGTCAAACTTTTCGTTCATCACTTGAATACTCAGTTTTAATGTTTTTAGAAATGCAAAAAAACTTCAAGCTATATTGTTTCAAAGGTAATATTGAAAATTAAGTATATGCTGTTACAAATAACAGTGCAAGACAATGGATTTTTAGTGGAAGACTTTGTAATAAAATGATCAATCAACACCCCTGTAGTGGGCATACTTTCATTTGACCAAGACTGGATATTTGATTTTTTAAATACATCTTTAAATAAACTGAAATGTTTTTAAGAATATAGCAAAATGTCAGATCCTGTTTTTACTCTATATTCTGCCTTTTCTGTATCTTCTAAAAAACTGGTATTTTTGTATAAATTAATCTATGTGAGGCTGAGTCTGTAAAATTAAAATGGTCTTCAAAGCACTGCTGGTCTTAAAATATTATTTCTAGAATAGAACCCATGTAAAATCATCTAATTTTAATGGGCATATGTTGACTTCTGCTCATTACCATTCTAAAGTAAGGGTTATAAAGTCATAGAATCATAGAATCATGATTCATGATTCATAGAATCATCTAGACCAACCCCCTGCCATGCAGGAAAAGCACAATCAAAATACTCCTGACAAATGGCTATCCAGGCTCTGTTTAAAAGCTTCCAAAGAAAGAGCTTTCACCACACTCCCAAGGCAGAGAGTTCCACTGTGGAACAGCTCATATGGTCAGGAAGTTCTTCCTAACGTTCAGATGGAATGTCCTGTCCTCTAATTTGAACCCATTGCTCCGAGTCCTGGTTTCAAGGGCAGGAGAAAACAAACCTGCTCCCTCTTCCTTATGGCATCCTTTCACATATTTATACATGGCTATTATGTCTCCTCTCAACCTTCTCTTCTGCAGGCTAAACATACTTAGGGCTTTAAGATGCTCCTCATAGGGCACGGTTTCCAGACCTTTGATCATTTTAGTTGCCCGTCTCTAGAAATCTACTAGCTTGTCAATATCTCTTGAATTGCAGTGCCCAGAATTGGACACGTTATTCCAGGTGAGGTCTAACCAAAGCAGAATACAAAGGCACCGTGACTTCTCTTGCTCTAGAAACTACTTCTTTTGATGCAGCCCAAAATCCCATTGGCTTTTTAGCTGTTGTGTTACACTGTTGGCTCATGTTCAACTTGTTGTTGACTCAGGCATCACCCATTCTGTATTTTTTGCATTTCATTTTTTCTGCCTAAGTGTAGCATCTTGCATTTGTCCTTGTTAACATTCATTTTGTTAGTTTTGGCCAGGTTCTCTAATCTGTTAAGGTCATTTTGATTAGCTACCACTCCTCATTTGGTATCATCTGCAAATTTGATAAGCATGCCCTCTGAACCTTCACCCAAGTCATTAATAAAGTTGTTGAACAGAACTGGGCCCAGGACCAAATTCTGCAGCACTCTACTAGTCACTTCTTTGCAGGATGAAATAGAAACATTGGTGAGCATCCTGTGGGTTCAGGTTCTTAACCAATTACAGATCCATCTAACATTAGCCTTGCACAGCCCACATTTGACTAGTTTGCTTGCAAGAAGGTCATGGGGTACTTCGTAAAAGGCCTTACTGAAACCAAGATATGCAACATCCAGAGCATTCCCTGCATCTACCAAGCTTGTAATTCTATAGAAAAAAAAGTCATTTGTTTTGAATAGGACAACAGTTACTAATGATTTCTGTGAACAGGATGTAAAATGAAATTATTCACTGCAAGTGTTATATAAAAAATAACTGATACATGGGGTTTGGCTCTTTGTTTCCCCAAGCATTTGGGGCTTTTATGAGTTACTGTGCTGTTTGAGGTTTGACAGTTAAACTCAGAAATAGAAGATTCTTTAGGACCAGATAGGAACTTTGGTATGTCCTGAGAGAGTGGACAGAGTCCAGAGGCTCATCCACACTACAGAAGTATATCCGTATTAATCAACTTTTAACTGCTGTGATTCCATCTATGGAACACAAGAAACTAGCTTAAAATAAGCTGTGTTGTTTTAAGTAGCTGCCACCAGGTGATGTTAGTCAGTGAGGATGGAAATGTAACTAAACCCCCATAAATGAGTCGCCCTTGGGCTGAGAATTGCGGTATATAAGCGAAGTAAATAAATAAATAAATAAATGTGCATTTCCAGTGTCCACAGGCACTCTGCCTGCATTTGTAACATATACTTATCGCTGGACAGTATATATTGCAAATGTCTGCAATCTACAACAACATCCTTGAAATGACCTTTGGAAACAAATGCCATTGTGCTTGTTTTTAGTTTAGCCTTTTTAGACATTTGGCTAACTTTCCAAGGATCAGACGGAGCAACTGTATCCTGCTTGTTTTTGTTTTTGTTTTTTTTTGGGTTTTTTTTGGTTTTTTTTTTTTGGCATGGCAGTACATTCACCCTACACTAGTGTGACTTTGGCTTAAATCCGGGCTTCACCTCTAAAACTGAAATCCAGAAACATCTGCAAGACTGAATTGGTAAGCTCTGATTACATGTAACTTATGTGGGCATATTTTGAGCATATCCATTCCACTACAGTAGTTAAGAGGAATCAGATGTTTGTTAAATCCAAACTTAAAGAATTAAAAATCTACAAGGAAGAACCCAATTTTTCTGATCAGTATTCATCAGTTTATATTAATGAGAATAGGAGAAAATGAGTTCTATTCATGTAGACACAACTCCTCCATTGGCCACATTCACATGGAGCAATATCTTATGGCCACTTAAAGACAAATTGATACAGACATCAGAACCATATTTCAGTAGAACTATACATATGTTTCTTGAAGAAAATTCTCGGTTTGGCATTTTCAGGCAAGTACGGGAAAGGCCTTTCTCTGAAACCAACTGAAACAAGAATGGCTTGTTGAGCATGTTGTCTCAATTAGGGGTCCTACTTTGTTACTTCATTTATAAACCAAAATTCACAAATCAAGAACAAGCTGGTTGAGATGCAATTTAAATGTGAAATGTGTTGGTCAGTTTAATCACAGAAGATACACGCTTTGTGAATATTTATTTAAATTTATTTAAAACTTTTATATCCCGATCTTCTCTACCTCCATAGAGGGACTCAGAAAATTAATATTGTGCTCAGTCCACCATACTTTTGTAATTCTGTATTTAGAATCAAGGTGGATCACAATTTCTATGGATGCCTGAGCAACTCGAGTTCCTACACAGAAAATTGTAATACGCTATTTTATTATATACAAGTATGCCGATTTATTTCACTTTAACTTATTTATTTATTTGTCATGTGAGGGCAACCAGTCAATTCTATTACATTTCTAACAGAACAAAACAAACAAACAGACAAAATACAAAATTTGTGAGTTTGGTAGTTGGTTAAATGTCCTTTTACCAGTAGCTGGCCACTTGGAGCACTTCTGGTGTTGCTGCAAGAAGGTCCTCCATTGTGCATGTGGCAGAGCTCAGGGTGCATTGCAGCAGGTGGTCAGTGGTTTGCTCTTCTCTACACTCGCATGTCGTGGATTCCACTTTGTGGCCCCATTTCTTGAGGTTGGCTCTGCATCTCGTGGTGCCTCTGCCAATAAGCTGATGGATTTTGGAGTCCTTGTCAGCATAACAGCCAGTTGTCAACAGCTGTCCAGTGATAGAGAGCTAATTTGTATTGGCAACATTGTTGGATACTTTTTGCATTAAATTGGCTATTTGAAGCTCGGAAGAACTGAGCATGCACTGAAGGAATGAAGTTTCCTCTGTTGTTAACCTGGCTGCAAAGTTTTCACAGCTAATGGGGAGATAAGATGGATTGTGCTTCATTTTTGTTTGTTTGCTTCTACACTATATAGCTCTTGATAGTGCATCATCTATCCAGCTTACTTTGGCAGCAAAGTAATCCCCACTCCAGAGCCCCCATTTAGCTATACTTGGTTAATTGATCACCAGCCATGGATAATCTCGGTAGAATTAATTGTTTAGAGGTCTATTAGCTGTGAGGGGTTGCAGGACCCCATCAACAAAAGGGCTGGAATGCTTCTCTCTTACATGACATCTGCTGGATTAATTCACCACCAATAAAGATTACATCAGCAATAATGTGTGTCTGTGTTCAGCATAAAACAGTCTTGGGAAAGCCTAGAGCTATCCCAAGTTTCAGAACAGACTTATATTTACATGGGCGTTTCACACTATACTTTTATAGTGCTATAATTCAACTTTAATTGCGATGGTTCCATCCTATTAATAGATTTTTGAAAGTCACTGAAAATTCTCAGTCACAGCTCTAGTGCCTCACCAAATTACACATTCCAGTATTCCATGGCATGGTATCGTGAGTATTCAGACAACATGAGTCTTCTTAGTATAGGATCGGCATTTGTATTGCTAATTCATGGGCCGCCTCCACAGCCATCAACACCTTATTTATTTATTTATTTATTTATTTACAGTTCTTATATTCCGCCCTTCTCACCCCGCAGGGGACTCCGGGCGGATTACAGTCAACACATATATGGCAAACATTCAATGCCAGTTTTGACAAACAACGTTTAACACACAAATACACCAAGGCTATTTAACTTTTTTCTGGCCGCCAGGGAAGCTGCTGCTTTTCATCGTCCATCAGCGACACCGATGAAGTTCTTCCGCATTCCACATTCCCCGGAGTCTTTTTTTCTTTATGGCCTCATAAATTAGTTAAATTTAGCCTCCCACACAAGGTGGTGCCTTATTTTCCTACTTGACAGATGCAACTGTCTTTCGGGTTGCAAAGGTCGACAACGGGCTACACAATGGCTGGACACCCACTCCAGCCCGGGCTGGCTTCGAACTCATGACCTTTTGGTCAGAGTGATCTTAATGCAGCTGACACTCAGCCAGCTGCGCCACAATCCCGGTGCTTAGTGGTATATTTATCACTATATAGCAAAGTCTGATAAATAAAATTACACTTAACAGCAAAATGGAATGATGAAATGATGTGATGCCTTTTTTGGAGAAAACATTTAAAAAACACGGTTTACTTGTGGCACTCATATTGTGACATTTCTGTAATGTGGTCAAAGCGATATCCATGGCTGTCATTTTTGCTTGATTGCCACAACAATGCCGTGCAATAGGTCAGGCTGAAAAAGAGATTGACTGGCCCAAGATCACCTAGTCATTTTTATGTTTCAATCAAAACGACACCCTCCCCCACAAAATTGTTCACGGTTGCTAATTCTGGCAAATTTTCTGGTAATTTAGCTGTAATCCTGTGGTCTGGCCTGGCAAAGGTGTTGAAGAAGGTGACACCATGAGTTACTGAAGTGGGTGTTACCACCTCCAGTGATACCATTGATTAGTCACTCTATGCAGTTGTATGAAACAGCAAGGTGTTGGCCAGTCGAGTAAGGAAATAGGTTGAAATTACATATTGGGATGCATTAT